TAAAAGAGGTAAATTTCGACTTAAATTACACCATCGCCATCTGTATGTTTACGGAAGAGCATTATAATTTCAGGATAGACTCGTGACTTAGATCAGGCTAAAAACCAATTGTTTAGTAACAAATCGATTTAATGGCTTCCAGAAGAAAATCGCTTGGAGTGTTTTGTCCAGCTTAGATCCCAGAGGAAAGCCTTTGTAAACAGCTGTAATAAAGGACAAACTAATCTACGCTGTAGTAGTCTCCGCTTCTGCCATATTTTTTTCCGAAGACAGTAAGAACGCCATAGGCTCAACTACTTGGAATTTGTTTGCAATACAATGTACATGCTTAAAGAAATAATCTTTCAGAAGGAGCGTTGGTACTCACCTAACAGAGATATTGTTATCAGAAATGTTCCCCATATTTGACAAGTTTCGGTCATCATCATTTATCCTCCGATGTGCGGTTAAGGAATTACTCTCAACCAAAGCGAGCTTTTAGCAAATTTAATTTTGCTGTAGATCAGTGCAGAATTCCCTTTGCCAGAATAACCACGAGACTTATGGGCATTCTCTTTTACGAAATATGTTAAAAGTCTGTTTGATCTTATCGTGTTGTTTTTAGGACAGAGCCAGATGTGACAAGGCGGAAAAACCACCGGACATGAGTAGTACCAAGCACGTTTGACTCCCGCCATTCCATTTTCAAAATGGCGGACGACAAATCAAAATCTAACACGTCATAGTGGATGCCATATAGCCGCTGTCCTCGCAAAGAGGACTTTGCAGTCAGCCAACAGAATCTGCTATGATTTTACCATTCACCGGAGCTGTTAGAAAACAGATCGGAGTTATTCTTCTTTACTAAGACGGTTATGTTAATGGCAACTTCCAAGCCTTGTTTGACGTTTGTTGTTTCAAAGAAGCACCAAGGTGTTAGGTACCTTAAGGTGTTCGTTAACTCTTCAAGTCTAAAAGATACTTCCAAGGTAACTAATTTATGAGAAAAATATCAAATATGAATTTTTTTTCGAGGATATGAAATTCTTTTAGACCTCTTTGAAGCCGGACTTTTACAGCCATAACTTAAGAGCCCCATGCATATATCCTCCTGGCGAAAGCTGCAGGCCTGTAAGTGCATTTACAGCTCAAAAAAAATTTTATAGCTCTACCGGCACTGAAAGGAACTGCAGTTTGAATTAGTTTTACATCAGAAGTGAATCGTTCCTTTTGACTTCATCTAGTCATCACATTTGAGGTCAAGGTTCGGCTTAAAAGTTTAAGGTTTAAGCCTGTTATGCTCTTAACGACCTTGATTCATTAAATAATTTTATAACACGTAAAACTTTGTGCTTGTGATGATCGCTGTCGTGATATTAGTGATTTCCCGCCGCTTTCCCTCCTAAGCTTCTGCTACTGAGCATCTGGCGCAGTGGGTCTCGCTTCAGAATAAAGCGGGTAAGTTTCTGAAGAAACTGTGGTGCTGCGTCGGTGTGGGTAACAAGGTAATTTGNGCGTTTCGTGCGTTAGCCCTTCGTCGGAGCGAATAGAAGAATTGTGGGCGGTGTGTGCTTTTAAAGGCAGAAAAAGGAGCTACGTGATTGGTGGGAACATGGCAACGAGAAAAACACGAATAAATTAGTGGGATGAAAAGCGTTCGTTGATACCTGTGGGATTTAGACTGCCAGTCTAAAATCTAATCTAAAGTTTGGCAGTCTAAATCCCACAGGTATCAACGAACGCTTTTCATTCCACTAATTTATTCGTGTTTTTCTCGTTGCCATGTTCCCACCAATCACGTAGCTCCTTTTACTGCCTTTAAAAGCACACACCGCCCACAATTCTTCTATTCGCTCCGACGAGGGGCTAACGCTCGAAACGTCAGCTTTTATAATCGTAACGCTGGCCAATTTACCATTTCAACTTTGTTGATATATTCAAATTATTTAGTAAAAGTGATACCCTGCCTCGTAATACGGAACTTGCAGAACACGTTAAAACCCTCAGGAACGAAAATAATCTAATGGAAATAAAACAGAAAGAGATTGAGGAACAAACCAAATACCTCCAAAGGAAACTTGAAGGTGGGTGTTTAATATCAACCTTATCGGAAAGAGCGAAGAGAGTACATTACCCTACCACCCCCACCCTACTTTTTCAGGTAATTGAAGTTCAGTTAAGAAGTGTAGTTATTATATGGCTGTCTCACAGGGACTGGGAACTACCGAATTCACAAATTTGATCGGCTGAAATCACCATTGAAAGTGGTCTAGATTTTCTCATCTAGACCGGCATCTAGACCGGTCTAGAAAAAAAGATACACAGAATATAAAAAAATTGGCATATAAGACACAGCCATATAATAAACACCTTATTAACCGAGCTAGGTCGGTCTATATGGGAGAATCTTGACCTTGGTCGCTGTTACAGACCTCACTGCGTTTGGTCTGTACTAGCGACCTCGGTCAAGATTCTCCCATACAGACCTCCAGCATGGTTAATAAGAACTAAAACAAGATTTTAACTAATCAACCGCTTAGAGCTAACAATAAAATTGGACCATTGCACCATTGCACCATTCACAAATCTATGGACATAAATGAACATCTGTGAACATCAAAACCCAAACAATTTAGTGAATGTTGTTCACGCCAATAACTATTTTATTTGGTGACTGACTTGTTGACAGAAATTGCCCAGCAGAACACTCATTTAACACAAAGAAAAAAGCATTGCAGTGAATTAAAAGAATTAAAAGAAGAGGATAACATGCTTTGCAGGAAAGTTCAAGGTAAACCCTGCATATATATAAAACATTTGTGTGAAGTTATAGAGAGCATGGTAGTTAGTGTGCTATGCAAAATCGTTTTACTACTTTTCAAAATATCAAGGAGACACAAGATTAAGCACTCTTGTACACCAGTTCCATAAAGCACTGGTGAGATACAATTCCCTCCGAGGCAAGCACCATATGATCTAGACTAAATGGAAAGTTGTGCAAGTCTCATACCCCTGGCTTGTTTGATGGTAACTTCACCACAATAGGCAACACTGAAAAGCAGGCACCCTCAAACAGGCGAATGAAATTGCAACACACCAAAGTAGCTGCCATTCTGCACAATCTGAGCTTCTTAAGAAATTGGGTATAGCACTTAGTTTCTTACTTAAGGGTGAAAAGAACAGAAATTGAAGTCAAAAAAATCTAAGCACATGTTCCCATCTCAACCTAAATATGGAAAAAATATGCAAAATAAAACAGACTAAAGTAATATTGAATATAAAACACCATTAGCAAGTAAAGAAAATAGACATGTTAAAGTTACATGTACCAGAAAGTAATCCATAAAAGCCAATGGAGTGTCTTTTATTGCCATGTCTGTAAAACTTAACTAGAGTCTTTTCAAAATGAAAATGAGTGGAGCTAGTTACTCCTCTCTCATATCTGGAATTGTCCTTGGATACAGCTGCCATCCAATGATATCCACTTCATTCATGCAAATCGAGAACCAAAGAAAAATTGCATGCCATGGAAAGACCTCAAAGTGTTGATGACGTTTGGTGGTTTGGTGCGGTAATGTAGAGGCGGCATCCATGTGCCCTCCATACTTCAACACTTTTCTATGGCATTGATTGAATTCTTTGTTGTCAGCTACTTGAGCACATTACCACCAGGACATAAAAACCTGGACCACACAAAAGTAAAACAAAGTTGTGAAAACCCGAGGTAACATGAAAAAATCATTAATTTTTTTTTTTCCAACTGCAACCACTCAATTAATTTCTCCCAGTTACTGATGGGTATCACCCATCTATCTACCTCCAGATACCCCACTATTTTGACACTCCAATTTTATTTTTAAAATAAACACAAATAAAAATTATTTTAAGATTCAAGAAATGGGACAAAGAAAGAAGGCTCCCACTTACTTTAATCACCAAAAATAATACAGGTTTATTATGATCAAAAAGAAATAATCACACAGAGCAAGAAATGTAATTAACTTTAAGAGTGAATTCTAAACCAATCCAATGGGTTACAGAACCCATGCCAAATGACAAGAGTTTTTCTTTTAAGAGTTTATTCAGGTGAGGATTGAGATGATTTAGAACTACTTAGCACAGCATGGCTAATAAATGAATTTGAAGAAAATATCTATAAAAAAAGGGGGAAAATTTACAATGTTCAGTGCTCTTACCCATCTTCTGGCAGAGGCTCCTGACTTAGCATTCTGACAGGGGACTTTTCCACCAGGAAATACAACAATACTCAAGATCTTCAGGCACCAAAAATATGTTTCAGCTTGTCTTCACTGCAGTAGACTTTCTTATTGACATGTTTTGGGAATTTTGGGCCACCTAAAGGCATACACAAAAGTTGTCTAAAGGAAGACAAAAGTATGAGGTTGGTAAATGCATTGACAAAAATGCTCATACTGTAAAAATTCATGTTAAATGTAAATCGTATGTGTACAATTCTTCCAATCAATTACATAATCGGAGTAATGAAGATGAAAGCTAAACAATACCTTGCATATTTTTTGTTTTTTGATTTTTTTTGCTTTGCAGCCATGCTATTTTCCAGCAGTAGATGGAACAGTAGACCAATGGTGTCTCCAAATGGGCTTTTCATTCTTTGGACACCTTTATTTTCTAAATAAATCCAAAGAGCTACCATCGCTAAGCGTACAATGAACTCCCAGATGCTAAATAATCTTTTTTAGTATAATTTCAGAGCTGAGCAAAGAGTTTCCAGCAATCTGATTGGTCGAGTGGTTCCTATAGCATTATAACGCAATATAAACCGCTCCAC